AGAAATACGTATATAAGGGTAATTTTGAAAAAATAAATTATATTTTTTCTTAATTATATAAATTGATATTTATTTTGAACCAAAATAAAAAGACAAATTGGACCGGAGGGAGTATTACAAGTCTGACATTTCCTAAAATTTAATGGAGTTGATTCTTGTAAAGCGTAAAGCAATAAATATTTTAGGTTAGTCGAGTTGAATGTAACTGCAAAAGTAGCCAAAAAAATAAGACACTTGGTTACTAAAAGTCACCTCCACAATTCCCAGAATGAAATATAGAATATGCTAAGGCTCTTAAATCAAGTTTGTTACTTTCCTGTCCACAATAAGTGATTAATTTTTTTTCTATTTTGATTCAAAATAAGTGTCTATTTATATAATCAAGAAAGAATTCAATTTATTTTTACAAGATTATCCTTATGTACCTATCCTAAAAAGTTTTCTTACTCTTCATATTAAATATTTAATTAAGGGTAGTTTAGTCATACTAGATATTTTTGTATAGAATTTAATATTTTTTTAATGAATATGCCAAAAATAAAATGATCACTTATTATGGACCGAACGGAGTAATAAATAACACCATAACATAAGAATGAATGATCATCAAATGATGAATTCTGAGTTGTACTACCAAGAAATTGATGATCCCCAAGTGATCCTGTCAGGGTTGGACTAAAAATTTACCAAGTACAACTCATTTGTAATAAATATATATAATATAATAACAAGGGGTTTCTGTTGAATATATATATATATATATATATATATATATATATTAAAATGCTCATTTGATGACAAATCTGGGTTTTGTAATTTCTATTAATAATCTTTGCTATTCTCCTATTATAATGACCTTGTCCAATTGTTGGCAAGTAGCAGACAAATCTTGATAAAAAAGTTGTTAATGTTAAGGTTTTTGTTGGAAATCAAAACCAACATATGTATACTTTAATGCAAGACTCCACTTCATTGAACTATGAACTTGCCAACTTTAAAAAGTGGGAAAATGAAACATGAATTTCTTAGTTATAAAGCACATGTTTCTAGTCAAGTTAAGCTTAGAAATAGTACTCACTAGCCCTCCCTACAAATAATTAAAGCATCTTAATAGAGTTACAAAGAAGGGAACCCGACAGTAAAAGTTATCCTCGTGTGATCTATAAATCACATGTTTAAAGGTATGAACCTTTCCCAAACTCTACGTGAATACAAAATATTTTGTGTACCGGCCTGCTTTTTAATAGAGTTACAAAGCAAATCATTGAAATGATATAATATGGTATTGATATAATATTTTAAGAAACCGAATACCAAAAATACCGAATCGAATTGTCTAAATACCGTACCGTACCAACCGACGAACACTCTTACTCACTAGCCCTCTCTACAAATATAAAAAGTAAGAAGTATTAANTATATATATATATAAATTCATGTATCGTATGTGTATAACTCTGTATAATCAATATATACCGGCTAAAAAGTAAACAACGAATCTGCCCTACTATTATCTTATTGGAGTTACAAAGCAAATCATTAAAATGATACTATTACACATGACACATTATGGTATTAGGGTCAAGATGAACATAGAAAATGAAACATGTTTAGGAGTACTTGGTACAATAGTTACACCTCTACACCACAAGGTATTTAAATGAACGGAAAATGGTCAAAAATGCTCCAAATGTATTAGAAATGGTTTAAATTTGCCCTCCTTCTACCTATAGGTCTAAAAATAACCCCAACGTTTATTTTTGGATTCAAAATGCCCCTCCTTTTAACGGAAGTATGAGATGGCATATGTGAGGCTTTTAATTAAATAGGTGGCATTGATTAATTGGTCTACGTGGATATTAGATCCATCCATAATTAACCCGACCCATATGAGGTAAATCCAAAATCCAAACCCCTTTCTCCTTACTGGAAATTGGCAGACATCTTATACTGGTAAATTTTCCTAATAGCGCTAGGGTGTAAGTTTGAGATGGGGAAGAAAATTGGGAAACAAACAATATTTGAATTTGCTCGTTTTCTCTTCTTCTCCGATAATTTCTTTTGTTCAAAGCTAACCCGGAAAACCCATTTATGGAAAATGTAATAATGAAGAAAATTTCAAAGGGAAATGACCCATGTAATACTTTTGAAGTTTTCTGTTTGATGCTTGAGAATTGGATCCGCTGTAGATGAGTATTCGTCATTTATAGTTTTGAATGCGTATTCAAGAGTTGGTCTTGTTAAGCTAGGAATTCAGGTTGATGGACTATTGAGGAAAATGCGCACTGCTGGTGATTTTCTTTCTTTGTTAATTGAGTTTCACGAAGGTAACATGGCTGTCAATGGTGAATACTTACCCATTTTCGTGACTTTCAGGTATTGTTTATTTTCATATTTTCTTCTTCATTCCAAACTTGCACCTAATTACTGTTCGTCAGAAAATTACCTGTCGCCAATTTCCAGTAAGGAGAAATGAGTTCGGATTTTGGATTTACTTCATATGGGTCGGGTTAATTATGGATGGGTCTAATATCCATGTGGACCAATAAATCAATGCCACCTATTTAATTAAAAGCCCCACATATGCCATCTCATACTTCCATTAAAATGAGGGGCATTTTTAATCCGAAATAAACGTTGGGGATATTTTAAGACAAATAGGTGGAAGGAGGGCAAATTTAAAACATTTCTAATATGTTATGGATATTTTTGACCCTTTTCCGTTAAATGAATGATGTAGAGACAAATAGAGAAAAGGTCAATTATTTTATTGCAGAATTGGTCTAGTCAAGACAGTTTTATCTTAATCACAAACTAGTACTTTAATGGGGAAATCAATTGCAAAATCTTAGAAGCCTATTTGTCCTAGGTGATAAGCCACAACCAAAGTTTGATTGGACTGGCCATGATTAGATAGCCTATTTCAGATAGATTCACAAGTTTAAAGAAAAGAACAAGGGGAAGAAAAAAAGGGGCTTAACACAAAAATAGAAAAATTATTGGGAAATGTTGGAGCTGAAAAGAAATATTAGAAATGATAAATTTAAGAAAAAATAAATAATTTATCATTTCAAGAATGGGATTTTCAGAAATTTTTATTCATATTTGATAAACATAATATTTAATTTTCGGTTTCATGTTATTTTTTTGCAAAAATAAAGCAATTTACTTCTAATTCTAATTTTGAGAGAAGAACCTTGTGAATTTGGCCATAAAATAGATCCAAAAATTATACTGATAAAAATCATAATAATAGGGCGTCAACTAGTTAGAATTTGGAAGGGAAAAATTTTCACTTTTTTGTGTGCTATATATAAACTTTTTACATGTAACTTGTGAACATGTTTTTTGTTTGTTTAATAATCGTTATTCGAAACTTACTGGCCAAATTTTAAATTCCTGTCATGCACGGGTCATTAAAGCCAAAAATTTTCTTTATTAAAATTTTATTTATTTTTCCGTCTCGAATCTAATTAAGGGTGTATAAAAATAATTCATCTCACTGCATCCCTGGATGGTACTTGTAAATATATTCAATTTCTAAATTTTGGTAGAGAGGCTTTCTAACTATTCGTTTACAAAATTATTACTCTTCTTTTATTAATACTTCTAAAAGATAATTCAATTTAGAAAAGAATTTTAGGAAAAAAAGTTCAACATAATATCATTGGTAAAAAATAAATATATTTTTTAAATATAAGTTGTACTGATCATGGAAGTAGCCTGGAAATTTTCTGGGACCGACAAAGGACTCGAATGCTGCCTTTAGCGGAGGCGACAACCCTTTGATTCCCTTCTGATATTTGCAGCTATTTTGTCTATCTCTTTTTTCTTACAAAATCCCCTTCCCTCCTTTTTATTTATTTTTTTACTTATGTTTTTTAAAAAAAATCACTCCATTATTCACCGAAAGAATTCTTAAAAAAAAAAAAAGAAGTTCGAATATGCTAATACTATTTATATATTTTAACCTGATGTAACAAGTTACTTGATCTTACAACAACAACAACAACAACAACAACAACAACAACAACAACAGCCCAGTATAATCTCACAAGTGGGGTCTGGGGAGGGTAGTATGAACGCAGACCTTACCCCTACCCCGAGGGGCAGAGAGGTTATTTTCAGGAGACCCCCAGCTCAAGAAAGCACCAAGTGACGATATATTAGTACCATCGATGGACTCATAATAAAATAACATAAAATATATAACATAACATAAAGGAACCTAAAATATTTTCCAATTACTTGATCTTATTTCTTAAATTATTATTTTCCAATTAATATGGGTATATACTCAGTGGCGGAGCCGGAGTTTTTACTGAGGGGTGTCAAAATATAAAATATTAGATACACCGAAAAGTTATGGGTAGTCAATGTATAGTAAATATACATAAAACAAAAAAATTTATTTAACAATACAGTGTGATTTTCAAGCAAAAATGAGTATCGTTGAATGTGGCTCCGCCATGGTATATAGTTACTATAGTAATACACACTATCCGTATATAAAAATTAAATCCAAAAAAAGAGTTGCTATATTATTCACTAAAGAGGAAAAGAAATATTACTAGTAAACACCTTATCTATTCTTATAATTCACGACATATCCTTGTTGTTTCTCCAATATTTTCCTTAACAACTCTCTTCCAACCGAGAGGTTGTGAGTTCGAATCTCCCCAAGAGCAAGGTGGGAAGTTCTTGGAGGGAAGGATGCCGGAGGTCTATTTGGAAACAGTCTCTCTACCCTAGGGTAGGGGTAAGGTATGCGTACACACTACCCTCCCAATACCCCACTAAGTGGGATTATACTGGGTTGTTGTTGTTGTCTCTTCTATTACGCACACAGATACACTCATATTTTCCCTATATATTTGACCCCCCCTTCATTTCCAAAAATCCTAACTTCAACTCACCAATTACACTTATATAAGCAGCTATTCACAAAAGAATCCTATATCCACTTCTTCTTCATCTTCTTCCTATTGAAATTTAGAGCCATGAGTTACGAACCAAACACGGCCTTAAACCTAAGCTTATCAAAAAATGAACTTAGCTTTGACCTTTTATTCGATCAATCTTCATCTTCTTCCTCATCATCGCCGTTAAGTCCAGCCGATCAGCCGCGTGTTTTCTCGTGCAACTATTGTAGAAGAAAGTTCTATAGCTCACAAGCCCTAGGAGGGCACCAAAATGCGCACAAACTTGAAAGAACCCTAGCCAAGAAAAGCCGGGAGCTGAGTTCGTCCCTGCGCCCTCATTCCGGTTGGTCAACTAACCCGAACAGTGGCTCGGGCCCTACTAGCCCGAGCCACGGTCATGCGGCTAGGTTTGTTGCTACTGAATTGAGCTATGGAAGAAGAGAGATAATGAGTTATGGCTCTAGAAAAAATGGTGAGAGTGTTGTTCAAGAGGATTTTGGCCAGCTTGATTTGTCCTTAAGGCTTTGATTACTACTTTTTTAAATCCTTTTTGTTGGTTATATTTTATTTTTACTTCAAGAAATTGTTGTAATTTTAGCAGCGTCCTTTTGACCCTACTTTCAGGTGGTGGTTCTTATTAACGAAAGGATGAGAAATCTATAACATTAATTGAAAGAAATTTAAATGGTCTCTTTGTTTTTTCTTTTTCTTTTTTCTTTTTTCTTTTTTGCCGTGAAGAAGGAAGGGTTTATTGTTTTTCAAAGATGGGTAGCAATATTAGACAACTCCTTTTCATATATTAAAATTTATTTAGTCCTCATTTTCCTTAGTTTCAGCCTATTCGATATTATCGTTGCATGATACTATAGTTAGCAAATTATAAAATATAGTTAGCAAAATTATAAAATAAGATAGAATTTGTTCTTGTGCATAGAGTATGTGGAAGCTAAGATTATATTAAACCGATGAAATAAGTCTTTTATTAGTTGGTGAATGGTGTTCAAGAGGAGCAGAAGCTAATACTAGTGCATTTTCTCTCCCCTTTAATTTCTTATTTCATTAAATTTGATCCCTATATTTTAATACGGTATTCAAAATTTTCTAAACTTATTTTCATATTCATGGAGTGACCGAAAACACTAGGTGGTGCACTTAAAATTTATTAATAGGAACTCTACTAAGTGACAAGGGTTGATGATCTATTCTGTTTGAGGCTATTTATATTGTCTTCTCTGTTCAATTCTTATAGTGTATATTTTTCTCTTCATCTAGACCTATTATTTAATTATTTTCGGTGCTTTGAAATTTGTTGACATTTGTTTAGTCTTTTCTATTTTGCTTGTAATTTCATAGTTATAATTAATTGATTTTAGATAAAGTGAGTACTTAACAAATATACATAAAGTAGCTTCTAATGAGAGGAAAATAGAGATAATATTCTTTTACGAATAATTTAATATTAATTTTACTACAATCATTTTACAAATGAAGGATGAAAATTGACAGAAGAGTACCACGATAAGAACAAATTACATGTTTTGATATTTTAGCTCCCTCACTTTATGTCATTTTCTTTTTTCATGGACCAATGTGAATTTTTGTCATTTATGTTGTCTTCGAATATAACTTCAAGCTTTTCTGGTTTAAAATTTTGAGTTCAAGAAGGGTTGCTATCTCCATACACCGTCCCTCCTAAAATGCCATATCTAGCTGCTTTCTACAATTCTATTTAATTTAGACAATGAAATGCCTTTGTGTGGAGATCAAGCCAATCAAAGTTCTATCAAGAGATGTCACAAGATCTACGCGAGTAGGGTGGCAAACGAGTGGGCCGGATCGAATATGGACGGATAAAAAATGAATAATGTAAAAATAAATAAAATATTTTATATTTAATACGGATAGAAAATGGGATAACCGGCAAATAATATGGATACTTATATTATTCGTGATTTCTTTAATTTGATCACATTTGGGAGAATTCCTAGTCTCCCAAACTTAAAAAAACGTCCAATCTGAGTCTTTTATCCATTTTTTAAGTGGACAATATGAATGTATAACTGTTTTTTTACATTCATTTTGCCACCTCTACCCACCAAGTTCGAAAATGCCTAAATCTTGGAGCGAAATTAGAAAGTGAATTATGATGAGCTTAAGCTTAGATAACTTTACCATGCCATAATGTAAAGTATTTGTAAAGCCAATATAAAGTAGTTCATAAATTCGTATTACATAAAAAAAACAGTCAAAGTGAAATGCGTGTTTATGCCAAAATATCACAAAGTACTACCTCGTCCTGAACCATAAGCATTTAAAACATTTTTTTTTAAAGATGTATACCTAGAGCAACAACAACAACAACAACCCAGTATAATCCCACTTAGTGGGGTCTGGGGAGGGTAGTGTGTACGCAGACCTTACCCCTACCCTAGGGTAGAGAGGCTGTTTCCAAATAGACCCCCGGCATCCTTCCCTCCAAGAACTTCCCACCTTGCTCTTGGGGAGACTCGAACTCACAACCTTTTGGTTGAAAGTGAAGGTTGCTTACCATCAGAGCAATCCCTCTTGTCAATTCCATGAATACTTTTAACCTTTTATGGTCAATCTATGGCTTCTTGTTTAAGTGTGTGGCAGCTAGTTCCAAATTCATATATAGCTGTCCCTTTTAGAAGCCTGCCTTGTGATTATGTGGCAAGTGTACAAATAGTCATTTTCAAGAATGTTATTTAGAGATTAGTCAGTATACATTTTTAGGATATTTTTGTTCTGAAAAATTAGACGGAAAAACTAAAATTCAGAATACACTGACTAATTCCTAAATAGCAGCCCTTTAGAATGGCTACCTGCTGTCATTTCTACCGTGATTATGGGCCGAAGTTTTAACAAAGCATAGACATTTAAGCTCTAGTTCATTGAAGGCTGATTATTCCACTATGTTAGGCTCCTTGGGCCCATTTTGACCTTAAGACCGATCTAGGCCAGAAGCAGAAACCAGCCCAGCCTCGCATCATGGGGTAAAAAGTAGCTGGACTAGTCACCTTTTGGGATGGCTATTATTCGCCACAATTTTAAAGAGAAAAATTCATTTATAGTCACTCGGGCCAAACTTATAACATTCAGTAGCTCAAAATTACAATATTTTATAACCTAAAAATAATTCTAGGGGCTAACCACCAAATTATACATCTGACCCACAAGTACAAATACAGGTTCACTGGCAAAATGATTTTCGGCCCAAAATGGTTTAGCCAGAAAACTTCACCGGTCGCAGCAGTAGCTAAAAAATTCACGGTCACCGAAAAATCTACATACCGGGCAGATCTGTCGAAATCCAAATAGCAAGCAAACCATCTTTTAGATCTAGATTTTCATAATATCAAAAGCCCCAAAAACAGTTAATAAAACTAGAAGAAAGAGTCGCCGGATTTAAAGGAGGGTCGCCGGTGTTTGATTTTCCAAAACTCTTCCTCCTATTGTAGGAGGAAGTTGTATTCTCCCATTAGGTCTTTTTCTAGGTTTTGTAAAAATATACTAGTTGGGTACTTACAGTATCATGTGTTGTTACCAGAACAACTGTCACGACCCGGACTTTCCCCCGTCGGGACCGTGATAAGTTGGTATCAGAGCTCTAGGTTGCTTAGGTCTCATAATTCACGGACAAGCTTAGTAGAGTCTGTGGGATCGGTACAAAGACGTCTGTGCTTATCCCCCAGGGGCTACAGAATTAGGAACAGTTTCACTTCTATTCTTTTCTGTCGTGTGATTTGCTTTCTCAATGCTAATTGAACATCTACTCTGTTCTTTCGCAGATGGCGAGAACACGTAACGCTTCATCAGCTGATCAACATCCCGAGCTCCTAGTGGCAGCTCCTACGAGAGGCAGGGGATGAGAACGAGGCCGTGCTAGAGGACGAGGCAGGGGCAAGGCTCAGCCCAGAGCAGCAGCACCAGTGGCGGAGCCCCAGGTAGAGTTTGATGATGAGGTTCCCGCCCAGACTGTTTTCTGCGGGCCCAACTCAGGTTCCAGAGGGGTTCATCACTACTCCAGTACTCTACGATGCTCTGGTCCGTCTAGTGAGCCTTATGGAGAGTGTCACTCAGGCAGGCATACTTCCTATAGCACCAGCCGTCTCTCAGGCTGGGAGAGGAGCACATACTCCCGCTACTCGCACTCCGGAGCAGATGGCTCCCCAGTTTCAGACTCCAGCAGCTCAACCAGTTGGGGTAGTTCCACCGGGTGGTGTAGCTCAGGCCAGTGACGGATCAGTTATGTCTTCTGATTCTTTGTGGAGATTGGATGGGTTCACCAAGCTTTTCATTACTACCTATGATGGTACATCTTCAGAGGATCCCCAGGCCTATTTGGACAACTGTCATGAGATTCTATGGAACATGGGGATAGTGAAAACCAATGGGGTCGACTTTGTTGCTTTCCATTTGTCAGGTTCTGCCAAAAATGGTGGAGATATTATTGTTTGGCCAGACCACTTGGGTCACCAGCTCTCACTTGGGACCAGTTCTCACAGCTATTTCTCGAGATGTTCCTTCTGTCACTCAGAGAGAGGAGTACCGCAGATGGTTCGAGCGTCTTCGATAGGGTTCTATGACTGTCACCCAGTACGAGATGAGGTTTATTGATTTGGCTCGTCATGCTCTTATGATACTCCCCACCGAGAGAGATAGGGAGAGGAGGTTTATTGAGGGATCGCTCAGCCTATTAGATTGCAGATGGCTAAGAAGACAAGGAGCGAGATCTCTTTTTAGGATGCGGCCAATGTGTCCAGGCGAGTTGAAATGGTTCTAACTCAGGAGAGCGGTCAGGGGTCTGACAAGAGGCCTCATCATTCTGGCAGATTCAGTGGTGCCTCGTCTGGAGGTAGGGATTCTTTTGGTAGAGGCCATCCTCCCAGGCTGTTTCATTCAGCACTTCAGGCTTCTCACGGTGCTCCAGATGGTTGTGGTTCTCATATGCATTATTCTGATCAGCTACCCTATAGTGCACCACCAGCTCCTATCAGTGCACCTCGCTCCAGAGTTTTCAGGGTGGTTACTCAGGCCATCAGAGTCAGTTTAAAGGTCAACAGCCTCAACAGCCGAAGTCTTGTTATACTTGTGGCGATACGAGGCATATTGCTAGATTTTGCCCTCGAGCCTCGAGAAGTTCTCAACATCAGGGTTCTCGTGCCATAGTTATAACACCAAGTGTTCCACCACCCGCTTAACCAGCTAGAGGTAGGGGTCAAACGGCTAGAGGTAGCGGTCGAGGTGTTAGAGGTGGAGGTCAGACCGCTAGAGGTGGAGGCCAGCCAGCAGGAGGCCGTCCCAGGGATGTAGTTCAGAGTTGTGGGGCCCAGACCCAATGTTATGCTTTCCCAACTAAGCCTGAGGCTGAGTCCTCCGATGCAGTTATCATAGGTACCATTTTGTGGTAGAGATGCTTCAGTTATGTTTGATCCGGGGTCTACATACTCCTATGTGTCTTCTTATTTTGCTTCATATTTGGTTGTGCCTCGTGATTCTTTGAGTGC